TTTTTTGCAGCAATGCAATGCGAAAAACGCATATTGACGAGAGGTTGTCTGTGTGTGTGGGTGGGTGTGTGTGTGTGTGTGTGTGTGTGTGTGTGTGTGTGCGCGCGCTGGGCTTCTGTATCGATTTTTCATCTCGAGACCGGCAAAAGCTACGGGGCTGAAACTTTGAAGCCTTAATCTACATGCATGTACGGGCCCCTATCCCCAAAATGGGCGGTCTTTCCCGCGTGGTACCCAAGTAATACCCCGCCAAAGTTTTTACGGGTAACCTGCTAACTCGCGAACCAGAAAAGCTAGAGAGCTGAAATTTCAGGGGAATGTTCCCCGTCCAAGCAGATGCTAATGAGCTCAAATCCAGCCCCCGGGTAAGCGTGGCACCCGCGTATGAGCCCGCCAGAATCTTTCCCGCGTAAATTCATAACTCGAGGATCTGAGATGCTAGAAAGCTGAAATTTTAGGGGAATGTTCCCCGCCCAAGCAGGTGCTAATCAGCCCAAATCCAGCCCCCGGGTAAGCGCGGTACCCGCGTACAGACCCGTGAAAAGTTCCTTCCGGATAAGTTACTCGAGAACGTGAGAAGCTAGAAGACTGGAATTTTGAGGGGATGTTTCCTGACAGTTCTGGCGCGGCCAGGCTGAAATTCTTTCTACTAGAAGCGTCTGCCGAAAAAACCGATGCCGGTAGCAATAAAAACTGCGGGGAATTCTGCAAAAAACGCATCTTCGCACGGGCAGCCCGTGCGTTGGCCAATTATTTTAAGATAAAGATGCATTTAACTCTCCGGTATATGCTAGTAACAATATAGACATGATCTTGCGTCGCAGATGGACTGGCTGTCTCATTGGTAGAAATGGGAGGGGGAGGTGGCGGAAAGGGGAAGCAGTAAGAACGTTGATCTTCCGTACAACAATAACGTTACCCATCACAGCGCATTGTATTCATGACGCCTACTTACTGTTTCTTAGATTAATCAAAAATGAGAAAAAATATACCGAAAATGAATTGACCCACTGATATTCGCTAGTATCAGTTTAGTATTGATAAAAATTTAAAAAACACGCACACACAGACGGATTTTTCTTACAGGTGGACCCGATTTAAGGCCGAAAGTTGCGTCGTTTACCGCTACACCAAACTAGCCAGCAATGAAAAAGAAAATAATTCGTTTATGATGTCCAAAATAGACAATGTTTTGACCAGGGAGTACCCAGGAATTATAAAATCATCAGCGAAAATTTGAAAATGAGGGAAATGGCAAACTTACAGCTTCCAAAAAGAGGTTTATTTTGGCCGAACAGTGATGACTGTGTTGTCGTTGCACTGGTACCAAACAGTGAGGTCGAAGGCTGTGACGTTTGACCGAATGTTATTCCGCCACTTTGAGGACCTTTGCGATTTGCTAAGTAATCCTCACATCGCAGTTCCTGGATTTATTGCCAAGTATAGTTAAATTGTTCAAAAAATATTTTTGAGCAAATTTTACTTTTTTAGTCAAAAACATTCTTTGAAACGCAGAGACAAGTTCTGCATGGCTTGAATAATAACATTTTGCCAATAGCAACCACTCCCTGGCTGAGCCATTAATGGTTCCTTCCTTTAGGAGCTGTACGGAGTAGTAAGCTGAACGAAATTAAGAATTCCCATTTCAAAAGAAATGATGAATTATAGGGAAACTGTTTCAGCTAACAAAAAGTGCAGAACAATGACTAGAGCCGGGACAGCAGGATCACTTATCAGTACAGTAAGGCTGCTGTCAAAAATACCATTTTTCAATTATCAAGCAGGACCCCTGCCATGAACTGGGTACCATGGCATGGACACTTCTTTTTGTCCATACTAAGATATAAACGTGAACAATTTGTCGCAACAGCAATTTTACTCAGGTAAAGATGTACTAAATCGCCACCAGCACCGAAAATCAGTAGCCATGTTGCAGTGCTTCCATGCCAAAGGTTGAGGGTCCACCTCGCCAATGGGACAATCAATCCATCTATGATATGGTCAGTCGTTTCGACAATAAACTAGTGCTGGCCCATATCAGGAAGTACAAAATTCGCTGTTATTTTCTTGCAAGCAGCAATCTTCGAAAAAGAAAGCCGTTGATAATATTGCCAGCCAGTTGTTGCTACTGCCAGCTGCTAACATTCATGCTGTTTCCGGTCTCCTTATCTCACGCAAAAAAAAAAAAAAAAA